CGCGGGGCTACTTTGGAAAAGCAATTACACAAATGAAGAGGAAATATGAATGTTCAGGTGCTGCTGATGAAACCACATCAATTGGCATTTTGCACGTCACCTGACAACTTCATGTGGTTGGCGCTGTCGGACGGTGAAGGGTCGTTATCAAACATTGACACAATAGCTACACGATCGAAACCAAAACAACCCAATTATGAATCACAATATTAATTTGGTAATGTTTGCATACATGTATACAACTCTTTAAAAAAAATTGCAAAAATGTAAGCAACAGCAGCCCACAAAGCATGAAAAGGTCATATCCTGTCGATTTTTGGTTTTCCAAATGAAGCCAGCGTATTGGCTCCTGCTCAATGTTTGATGTCGTCTAAACAACAACAAAACCACGGTGCAAACAAGGGGCCAGAGGAGACGTCAGCGATCCCTAAACAGAAGTCCGCCCAAACGAGCTCCTCGCTCACACACACACGGACACACGGCCGCGAGATGAATTTAAACTGCGTTTAACTGCCGCGATAAAATGGACTCCCAGCGCAAACAAAGCACCGTACAGTTACATCGTACTGCTTTACGATACACCAAGAGCATTTTGTTCGTATCGTTTATTGTCAAAGTACCACGGTGAGGCCATCCAAACATCCGAGCGGCTAGTTTATTCGTGTGCCCGGCTGAAGTGAATGATGGGTTCCATCCGACACACACACAAAAGAAAAAGACCGCACGTTTAAGCGCCGTCTCGGGTCTGCTGCCATGCTGCTTGCACTGATGCAATGCTCAGCTCTCTCTGTTTCTACAGCTTTAATAAAGATATAAACCCGTTGATGGCATTAACTAACACTCACCACGTGTTAATTACACTGCCTGACAATGAGAGAATACCGAAACAGGCCGGCATTTCAAGCCACGGTTCTTCTTCAGAGCGGAGCAGTGTTCTTCGTTGCAAGGCCCCAGGGCCACTCGTGGCCTTTAATGCGGCCCCCGACAATACACGCATGTGAAAAGACCCCAACGTGCTGTCAAACCCCAATGGGCTTCAATTGTGTGACGGCCATCGCACGGACGATGTCTTATCGACGATTGTGGTCTGAAGAACACCGAGAGAGAAGGTGCAACGATTTGACTGGCTCACCAGTCGGTGATTGCACTCTACCGCCATGAAGCCCCTCGAGATGAACTGGTAAATGTTTTAAAAAGTTGATCAATTAATGAGCAGCTATAACATTGATGCGAGCAGGCACCACATTTCGTATAAATTGTAATAAAGTAAAGCAAAAATGTACATGTAAATTTATTTAAATGGAAAATATATATTTTTTATTCAATGTTCAATGGCATCATGGGGAAAAAAGTAGTTTCCATTGGAGGAGATATTATTATTAATTGGAAGTGACTAAATTGTATTTTATTTGTGATGTTGTACGGTGGCGTCCACTATCTAGGATAGACCATAGGGGGCGTGTAGTTTCCCATAAAGATTCAACTTCCTGTGGCCCCCATTGCAGGATTTATATTCTACACCAGAGGCCAAATTAACAAGCATATCTAGTACAGTAAAAGTCCTCTTATCCTCGGCTCATTAATCCGCAATGCCTATTATCGACAGGGTCAAGGCAATCTAGATTGGTGGGTCACCGGTTCTATGGATTTGCTCTCCGTAGTTTTCAGTCCCTTCCGTGAAGAATAAGGACGGGGAGAATCGGGGGAGACGTTGTGTAAAACAAAATAGAGAACAGGTACGTCAGTGAGAATTGTTTTATTATGTTTTATTTTTATTATTTTATTACTTCCCTTCTACGTGACTTTACCGAAAGAACCAAGAAGAAGGTACGTTTTCTTGTTCAGAGATATTTTTTAATGGGTGTGAAAAAATTCTGCGACACGTTGTCCCTGCTATCTGCAACGTTTCTTTGGTTCGCATCCTCGACGCCGCGATGTGGAGCGTACGTGCAAGGTTCTATGAATGCTACTGTGTGACGCGTAGATCTGGAAGTCTCAAGTTTATGTTGTTTAAGCAGGTGAGAAAGCAAAGAGATCAAGATAGGACACAATTTGCGAGAGTAACCTGGGTCAACAAAATAACGAAAGCAATCTTGCAAGAACTAATGCATTTCCATATTCCATCAAGGTCTTTAAGATATTCTGATCTCCAACTGCTCAGCACTCCCAGGTCGAGGTTGTGCTCTTTTGGCGATGGGTGCTTTTGTTAGGGTGGCACCCAGGCTATGGAACGCCTTGCCACCTGAAATCAGAAAATCAGAGTCGGTATATATATTTGTCTGCTTCGAAAACTAATCTCTTTAAACTGGCCTTTCCTCTTTAGTTTGGTCGGTTGTCCTGGTTCTGGTTTCGTTTCCTGATTTCCATGCATTGTGTATTAGGATCCGATGATGGAATATGCATCACAAATTTGAATTATTATTCATAACGTACATATACTATTCGAAAGCAAATAGAAATTAGAGCAAAAAAAACATCTTACAAAAGAAATTTAAAATGTGCACAAACAAATAAATACAAAAATTTAATACATTTCATGAAATAAAAGTTTTGCTCAGACCAATTACTTAAAAAAAACATTCGTATTAAAATTAAGTTACAGAAACGTCAACATAAAGGAATGCTGACGAGTGCACGGGCATGCGGAAAAAAAAACAACAACAGGGATAGGAGATATGAAATGTATGAAATGAGCCAACGTCTGGATGGGATTAATAACATTTACTTCATGACGATTCACCCAACTCCTCAAAAGTCAATTTTTTTTTCATCACCAACTGGCTGGTGACTGGCCTGCTTCTCCAAGCGCGATATTTTTTTTGTTTTTTTACCTGGCCTGAACGGGAGAAGTACGGGCCCAACCCTGCCTGCCCGGTTGACTAACGACCACACGGGGCCCCGTAGCAGGAGTTTCGCGTCGGCCCAGGGGCAGGCGGGCGGTGGTGGTGGTGGGGGTAGGTGGAGAACATGGGAATCGCTCGATGAAAAAAAAAATCACTCCGTCAGCTTGACGCAGTCACAGACAATCGCCCATCAAATTCGGGTTAACGGGGAAAGGGGGGTGGTGGTTTTGATAGAAAGGTATAAATAATAATAATAAAATAAAGTACAATAAATGACATAAGAGTGAAGAGTAGAATGGATGTGGCAGGTGCGAGAGAGAAATGGGCTTTCCCGGCCAAATGGGGACACGTAATGATGTATTTACGCCTTAATGGGCGTCACGGCTCAGATCGCCGGGCTTCCCACGTGGTACACTCCCCACGTGGTACGCTCCCCAGCTTCTCGCCAACGTGTCGCCTCGCTACAGTTGCCACCCGTCCTGGTGTTCCCAGGATGTTGTCCTCTCTCTCTCTCTTTTTTATTCCAAAGATTTTCTCACGTTTCGCTCGATTATACACTGGTCAACACGTTTTTTCTGGCATAAGGTATTCCAACGGTCGTGAGGTAATTTTGGGGTGCTGATTCCAAATCTGGCATCAGTTTTTGTCTATCACATCAGGTTGTTGAGATATAAAATATTGCATTTTCAATAAAAACTGCAGAAGAAAAATATTAAATAAATGTGGATATCTACATTAAATTATATTATAAACACACTATCCTAAAAATGCAGCACCATATTTTAACACTAAAGCAGTCACTGACTCGCAACAACTTGCAATCATATGTGACAGAGTTAATTTCGGTTAAAATCAATGAAAATGGGGTATGCCGATAACATAAAAATGAGATGTGATAGAGCAAATCTGAGATCAGATTTGGAATCAGCACCCTGAAATTAGTCTAAAACAGCTGCAAAAGTCCAGGCCAGAATTTTTTTTTTGTTGACCAGTGTTATAAGACGCTCCGGAAAGTAAGGCGCACCCTCTGGGTGTCACATAAAGTTACCTATTTTTTCACTCGCGCACAGACACCCCCACTAGATTATAGCACAACTGCATGGATTGAGGAAAATGCGAATCCTTTCATTTGTTGACCTTATGAATACAAAAGCTTTTGAAATCTGTACATTTTAAAGGACGCTGAATAATAATACAGTAATACAGAGCTTTGTTAACTTTTTGAGGGAGTGCCACTGCCAGTGAATAGGAAACTGCCAAAGCCCACAACGCGGCATGAGAATCGAATACGCACGAGACCAGGACTTTGGATAACCGCACACTCTGTGATAACATTGACGGCGCGATCGTGGAAAAGCTGCCGGCGTTACATGTAGGTGTGCTGCGGTGTGACCGCGTAGATCTGGAAGGTTTCGAGTTCATTTTGGTTTTGTTGCAGCAGGCGAGAGGTCAAAGATAGCCAAGTTTTAGCGCGGTGCTTGACTGAAACATGAACACACGCGAACCAAGGTGTAGGTAGCGTGCGTATTTTGGACTAATTAGGGACAAAGAGGAGTAGCACGAAGCACAAACAAGTAACGACGTAACAGTTCCACCACATGAAGGTGAGCCTCAGGCCCACGTTCACACGGGCCGCATCGTAGATATGAACCTTATGGCGGTCCGTGATGCAGTCATGTTTAGTCTGTTGATGGTCGGCGATGCGGCAATCGACTCATCTCGACGAGCTCTACACGATGCACTATTCAAAGTTAAATTTTTCGATAACGGGTTTTTGATGCTGATGTTCGGCGTTTCCACATCGCGGAGTGGCACTGATTTCGGTTGATTGGTACCCCAGTCGTGGAGTTAAGTACACCCCGAGAAAAAAATAGTGTCCCAGAAATAAAATATTTAATTGCCTCGGCCATTTTTTATTATCTGGTACCCTGCGGTACCGCCATAGGGCTCATATGAACAAACGTTGCTGAACAACTCGGCCGCCATGCAAAAGAAGATGCTATCCAGGCCGTTGGTCTACCTCACCGCATCGTCCTCCCAGCGTCGATAACATGGCAATCACTTTGTGTGTGATATCGACAGCGGTTTTGATAGAATGACCACTTCCGTGTAATAAATGTGGAGCTGAGTGTAGATTGACGACGACACGATCCTTACCGGGTGTGAGCAGGATGACGGAGGTGACGATGAGGGAGCAGACGATGATGATGACGAGCAGAGCGATGGCGATGCCCTTCCAGTTCCTCTGTGGGGCCTCCCCCTCATCCACCTCCTGGGAGAACGACATCAGCATATTCGTTATTGACACAAACATCATCATCATCACAAAATAGCATCACATATCTGACCATCGTATATCTTGGTGCTCCCCCCCTCCCCAGCTCTCCACAAGAAGCAATACCGCTTTCAGTGTCCTCAAAAGTTTGTTTTTGGAGCTAAAAAGAACACTTCAAAGAACTTCATGCGTGGTAGTGTCACAAGTATCGTGAACTCTTGTCAGAGGGCAGACGTCCCGATTCCACACAGCAATGGCAGACCATGAATAATGCCAGACCACTGATGGTCATCTGGCACCGTCTCGCCGTGTTTCCATGGCCATTAGGCACCAGACGCAAGCCGTACCCAGACCGTTCTTCATACAGCCGGCATGGCTTCGACTCATCATACTCGATCCCTGCTCCTCCCTCCCTTCCTAACCTTCCACCCCCCAAACTAATAATAACAATACATATTCTTAGGATTTTTTCGGTAAAGTCACGTAGGTAAAAAATAAAAAAAACCTAAGAATGTGAATCCTTGCAGTCACGAAAGCTTCAAATCTAGAAATAACAATACAACCAATATTAATTTCATGAAGCACCGATTCACAATAAAATATCTGCAAGCATTGCACATAAATAAATAAATAAACAACGCTGGAGAGAAGCAATAAGAATTTTGAAATTCCTAACGAGGTTTAACGCTCTGCTTGGGTCATTCTACTCAATCACCATTCGCGCACAGATCATCATGCGCATAAGAAACACCAGAGAGGGCTTGGTGGTTGCCAGTACATGGCAATGCGCTTCGTCGATTGACGTTTCGTTCTGGAATTGTGGTTCTATCCCACTGTATTCTTGACTCTTTTATTTTGTAGGCACACGTAATGCATTTAACAGGCCTAACTCTGCTGTATGTATGTGGAACTTCTTTTGCACCCAAACTTAGCCAACCGTGTTAATCGGATGTGCGGGCGAAGGACAACAAACTCAACAAAACATTATGCTGATGAGACCCAGAAGGTGAAAATCAGCCCAGTGTGTTGGCTTAAATGCTGCTTAATAATAATGGTCTGGAGAGCAAAGTGGGTGATAATACAAAACATTTTTTGTTATTTACATTTGGAGACAGAATTTTGCTTAACATTTTATTTAACCACCGGAACTGTCTGGCCAACTCTATTTTAAATAAACCCTTTCACTAACCCCTCCCCCCCAACCCCAATCCTCTTTTACATACCCATTAAAAAAAAGGCGTTCAACCAACCCTGTAAAATCTCAGCAACAAGCTCGTTAAATAAGGAAGCGCACGATCTGTAACGCCGGGGCAAGCGCGTTTGTTGGAACGTAGCACGCGTCGGAAATGTGAATTTGGAAGAAGAAGAAAAAAACATCTTCCACTGTTTGATTGACGTTTCAAGCCGCGAAAAAGGGGGCTCGGTGCCCTCAGAGTAAACAAAAAGCCACGGCTGGGGGGAGAGCAACCTCCTGCTAACAGCAGAGCCCTGCCGGCAAAAATCTCAGCGTGCAATAACATCTCGGCATCTCTCACGGGCAACCAGGACAAATCTCTGCCTGCAATTGCAGCAATGACAGCGGCTGTTGTGCACTACTCAGGACCCTGGAGAGAGAGGGGGAGAGAGAGGGAGGGAGTGAGGAGAGACCGGCACACGTAATAGGGGTTACGGAAATTGACGGCGTGATAAATATTTCCTGCTGAAATATTCACGCGTTTAATGGGCTACAACTCAAAAATGGCACCGGGGGGGGGGGGGGGGGGAATATCAATGTTTACGAAAAGGCAATACATCCAAAAATATGACTGCTCTACATCAACTGTTTTGAATAGATTAATAGTAAAGTGTGCTGACCAGCGCTGGAATTGGATGAAATGCTCGCGCAAAGCGGTGTGCGCTTGACAAACGTTAAATGCTCGCACGACGGCTTTTCATTTTTTTCTCCTGCGCCCTTACATTTAATGGGCAGGCTACTTCGGGAACCATTACCATCATCGACCGTAAGTGGTTCCTGAACTAGCCTTGCGGTAAAAAATATATATTTAATCCGAGGAACACGCAGCATCTATCAGATGAAAGGGGGTGGGGGAAGATTTCCAGATGTCATCCTTCAATGGAAGGCTACTGGATCAGATTGAATAATTGCAGACAGTACTTTTTTACTTTCATTTTACCAGGTAAGGTCCACTGAGCTCTACAGCTCTTTCTCAGACGCGACCTGGCCACAAAGATAGCTCAACGGAGTGTGCTATCACGTGGAAATGTATAGCAATCAAATACTATAAAAGCATGATGTTGATTCGAAATGTGGAGGGTAAAACCGGAGGACCCGGGAGACAAATCCACGCGACCACGGGGAGAGAGACACGCAAAACTCTAAATATATACTGGCGTCAGGGTCAGGATCGAACCCACAACCTCCTGTATACCAGACGAGGTAGTTAACATTAAAGGAGCAGGAAAGAGTTGTTAGAATGTGGGCTTGTTCACGCAATATATGGCCAGAAAATTAAACGCCTCCATCACAGAATGAATCCACGACCATTTTTCGCTTAAAAAGTGAGAGAAAGGTCGACTTCAAAGAGTGTAATCCTATTAAGCCTCCAATTAGGTGGACATGAATTAGGTGGACATAAATTGTTCACAAAACTCATTGGGAACGGAACAAGGAACATTTAGAGGGCAACCAACCAAATGAACAAGCAAGGTTTTTGCAAAAGTTTCTCTACCATCAATCACACTGTCAACCAGATTTGAGAAGTCTATTAAAGCGACGTAATCACGGTTTGAATATTGTACGAAAAAAAATCCTCAAATGTCAACCCGATTTTGACACCATCAAGTGATGACATAGAGAATCATTTGAGAAACGTCGCAGCATGAAGCTTCACGCCAAGTGAGAGACTGGTGCGCGGAGGGAGCCATGACAGAATAAATTATGTAATATATTATTATTATTAGTGACAGGTGTGTAACAAAGCGTTGATTTATCATACAATCTATTTTTTTTATTCATGATGGGTACGTGAAATTGCGTGTGAGAAATCATTATTATTTAGAATTGCATTATGCTGTATGGGGAGGAGTGGTAGTGCTGTGATTCGAGCACTGCAACATGAACCTGGAAACCCGAGTTCGATTCCTTTCCATGGCTAACATCAGTGGCGATTATGATCGCCTTCTCCACTGCAGACCAAACCCGCACAGATGTATCAGTCAACATGAGGTCCAAGATCAGAACTGCGCAGTAAATTACTGCACAGTAATGAAACTCCAACACGGCAACAGCGGTACAAAGGATCTCGCTTCAAATCAATTCCTGCCACACAAAAACAACAGATGCCAGCCATCTTCTTGGTTCTTTCGGTAAAGTCACGTAGAAGGTAAATAATACAAATAAAACATAATAAAATAATTCTCACGACGTTTCGGCCACGACGCAAGCAGCCGTCCTCAGGGGGGCTAGAATAACGGTCTATTTTTAAAATGTGTCAAACGCACTTTAATATATTGAAGACACGATCTCGTGTGAATGAGAAACGTCGCAGAAATGAGCCTCTCAGGTGAACTCCAACCGGGGTTCATTGCGAACTTCTCCTCTAATCACCCAGAGGCCACCACCCCCCTCGGCTTCACCCTCCTCGCCCCCCCCCCCCTTCAGCGAGCGTGATATTGGGCTGAGTTGTTCGTGACTCGTGCCTCGCTGCTGTAATTTCTCTCCACGTCTCTCAATTGTGTGACGAGCGGGGGGGGGGGGGGTAAATTTGAGCTGAGTTTGGCACGGTCCATTGCTTAATTTCTTAATTTCCTGATCAAATTAAACCCTGCACCTGTTCTCAAATAATACCACGGTTCCTCCGCTAATTATTTCACTCACAGCGCATGCTGCAGCGCTGATGAATTAGCGTCTGAATGAATGAAGCGTCTGAATGAATGGCGCTGTCTCCCCGACAGACGCTGGTCTTCACCTGAGGACGGCTGCTTGCGTTGTGGCCGAAACGTCGTGAGAATTATTTTATTATGTTTTATTTTTATTATTTTATTATTTCCCTTCTACGTGACTTTACCGAAAGAACCAAGAAGATGAATCCCTGCAGTCACGAAAGCTTTACATCGAAAGATGCCAGCCAATTCTCGGACTGAGAGAATGCACGGCAGATTAAGAACGCGTGGCGGTGTGAGGTGGTCTAAAGAACACGACGGATACGCCGCTGCATTGGATGGGTGGGGAGCGGCTTTGTTGGTCATGGTGGACACGCGTGGCGTTCTCATTGGTGTGGTTACACTCGAAGTTGATATTAAAACGAGTTCCAGTTGTTACGAGGCCCTACTGAACGAGTTGACTTCAGTGGACGAGTCACTGAGGTGCTGTAGAGAGAAGTGGATGCCACTTGTACTGTATGTATAATATATAAACAATCTAGTTGATGTGCGGAAGACTTTGTTTAAGCTCCGCGTTTGACGGACAGCATTTTTAGGACGCTTTCCATCACAAAAATTCGAGGTATTTTTTTTGTCAGTCAACTCCGGGATTTGATTTGTTCAATTACGTTCAGGATTAAAGTATGAAATCCGAACCCAACATATTCCAACTCTTTTCCTGGAAGCCCTTGCCTTATATTTTTGCCCAATTCTCCTTTTTCTAGAATTTCTGTCTGTGAGAAGAAATGGTAATTCGCAGGTAGCCCGCCGCACACCATAGATGAAGACGTAAATCACGCTGCACAGAAAGGTAAGACACATAGCTGCTGTACTGTCTCCGAGGTTATTTCTGTTTCGTCTTCAGTACAGCGAGGAACGCACACATCCTTTTCGACGCAAGCGTCCGTCCCTTCCACCAGCCAACAAAAAATGTTTAAAAAATATATATTTGATCAAAGCATGAACCGGCGTTATCTTAGGCATGTGATGCGTCTAACAGGCCTAAACTCTGCTGTATGTATGCATGTTGTACGACGGGCCTCCCCCACCCCCAATACCTCCCCCCGACTCCTGGG